AAGAATAGATTCCTCCTCCCTTTTTGACAGAAGTAATCTATGTGGTTTTGAATATTGGTGTTTACTAGATTTAAAAATAAATAATTTTGCAGTGGAGATTTTCTATTAGTTACATCAATTTGGATTTAGCTTAGCATAGCATTAGTGGAAGGGACTAACATGCTTTGCTCATTTTGCAGTGGAGTGTATCTATTAGTTACATCAATTTGGTTTTAGCATAGCATTAGTGGAAGGGGTGATGAAAGCTATTTTTCCTAGATCCTCTCATCCTCCCTTAGAAAAAGAGAAGGAAAGGAAAGAGACAGGAGCCGCTTTTTTTCTCCTCTGCACTCTGTCATTGCCTTCTAACCATGAAGAATAAAATGCGTGTACATTGTATTCATTTACTATCTCCAACATAGTGCTTTGTCTCATAATGTTGTAGTCAGCTAAATGGTACAGTATTAAATATAACAGCCACGGCATCCCATTATTCACTGTCAGTTTGGCGTAATGGAAGATACGACTGCACCCAATCCATGACCGCTAGATGTCGCCAGTTGGCTTATTGTAGCTTTCTAACCAATGAGCCTTAAAACTTCATTAGCAAAATTTGTATTATCTCCTAGTATTAAAAACAACTCTTTAGATCAGGGGTCCTCGAACTAAGGCCCAGGGCCGGATATGGCCCTCCAAGGTCATTTACCCGACCCTCACTCAGGGTCAACCTAAGTCAACCTAATGATTTGAAAGCACACAACAACAACAATCCCATCTCATCAGCCAAAAGCAGGTCTGCACTTCCCATTGAAATACTATTAGTTTATATTTGTTAAAATTGTTCTTCATTTTAATTATTGTATTGTTTTAAAGGTTTTTTTGCACTACAAATAGGGTATATGTGCAGTGTGCATAGGAATTCATTCATGCTTTTTTCAAATTATAATCTGGCCCTCCAACAGTTTGAGGGACTGTGACCTGGCCCTCTGTTTTAAAAGTTTGATGACCCTTGCTTTAGATGTTCTGGATAATACACACAACTATAGTAAAGGTATATAGCTTTTTGCCAACATATAGTGTTTCATATAGAATCATGTGATTGATATTTGTGCCTCCAGACGTGTTTCTTGGGGTTCTTGATATGGGACACAGTAATAATGTCTTTCCTCTGCAAAGTGAATTTATACCTACTGGTTTCCTTTGTATTTTTCTATCTATTTTTAATTTCTTTGTTTCCTCACAGCAATGAAATGACCAGTAGTATATGGTATGGGGCCTGGCACTAGTCTATGGACTACCACTTTGAGTAGCACTATTATAGGTGATCTAGATCTGTTTTTTTTTTTAAAGTGAACTCTCAATGAGAATGAATGCAGCTTCAGTTCAGTGCCTGATTTTCATCTGCTTGTGTTGTGGATTCATGGCACATGAAGCAGGAGCAGCTGGTGGAGTTGTTGCAGTAAACCCTGAAGCCCTGTCTACACAGCCCTAAAGCATGGCCTGGGAAACGGATTTACCTGGGGTGGCAAGGAGGTGTTTCAGGCTCATCTGTTTGAACCTGATTTTCCAGGTTTAAAAAATACCTCAAAAGATCCAAACCTTACCTGAAGGTCTGCACCTCTGGAAATATGGGGGCTGTGGAAACAGATACCTGGGATCACCTTCTGGGATCCAAGTGTCTGTTTCCACAGCCCTCCATTTATCAGATGAAGCCTAGGGCTGAGGCCCTTGTCTTCCTCTTCCAAACAACAGGGTTTGGGGTCACCGTATGGCCTCCAACCCCAGTTTGTAGGCCTGTGTGGAAGCGACCTCAGTTGTATGGCTCCTCATCCTGAAGCTGTTCCAGGTTACTTTGGAGCCATCCAGGTGTTGGTTCTTCATTCTAGTTGTCACTAGGAACGCTCCTGTATAACCCAGAGCAGATGTGGGTGGAGTAGGCATAAAACTGCAGGTAGGCTAGATGCTTCTTTGGCAACATTCACTTGTGGTCATCCTTAGCTATTGCTGGTTGGAGGCTTCTCTTGGCAGGCCACCTGCTATGTTGGGAGGAATTTTCAGATATTTGTAGCAGGTGCTTTTTAATTTTGCTTTTTAAATGTCACCACATGGACAACGAATTGCAGTGAGGATGCAAATCTCTACTCTAGCCTTAGGCTGTGTGCTGGCACTTAAAAATACAAATCCTATGATTATTCCACATTCCTGTTGAAACAATTCTTCTGAGCCTTCTCAAAAGGAAAGATGGGTGCACTCCTCTGTTTTCTTAAAAAAATGCATTAGCTGTTTTTGTGTCATGGTAATTTCATCTGCATATGTGTGTCTTCAAGTCACCTGTTGACTTATGGCAACCCCATAAATTTCATAATGTTTTTTAAAGCAAGGAATACTACTCAGAGGTGGTTGTGGACCCTTCCACACAGCCCTATATCCCAAAATATCAAGGCAGAAAATCTCACATTATCTGAGTGTGGACTCAGATAGCACAGTTCAAAGCAGATATTGTGGGATTTTCTGCCTTGATATTCTGGATTATATGGCTGCATGGAAGGGCCCTCAGCCAGTTCCTTCCTGGTGTCCCTTTGTGGTGACTCATTCAAATAATAACTAGGGCTGACCATATTCAGCTTCAGTATCAGACAGGATCTGGTGTATTTAGTATATTTAGGCTCTGGTAATGCCACATGCTTAGGACATACTTAAATTTTGTATTTATTAATGCTATGCTGTAACTTTGCTAAGCATGTACATGACTAAAGTGTAATACTAACTCATAACTAACCTTCTTTTCTCTTCTATATAAAAAGTATTTCCTATTCTATATTTTTTATAGAATAAGGGAAAAGGCTTAGTTATACACTGTTGTGTATAACAACAACAACAACAACAATTTTTTGTGTGTGTCAGGAGCGACTTGAGAAACTGCAAGTCACTTCTGGTGTGAGAGAATTGGCTGTTTGCAAGGGGATGCCTGGATGTTTTTGATGTTTTATCATCCTTGTGGGAGGCTTCTCTTATGTCCCCGCCTAGGGAGCTAAAGTTGACAGAAGGAGCTCATCTGCGCTCTCCCCGAATTTAAACCTGCGACCTGTCGGTTTTCAGTCCTGCCGGCACAAGGGTTTAACCCACTCCAGCTCCCTGCGCCACCGGGGGCTCCAATACTACTACTACTACTACTACTACTACTAATAATAATAATAATACATCTTTATTTCTAACCCACCTCATCTCCCTGAAAGGACTCAGGACAGCTTACAGCATGAGTAAATATAATATATAAAATATAAAAATAAATAACAAATAAAAAATAAAAAAACAAGCCACGAGAGTAAAGACAAAGATCCACCCAGAGGAAAAGTGTTCTTGCCATACATCAAGGGAACCACTGACTGCATAGGGAAGCTGATGAGGAAACACAACATACAAACTATCTACAGACCCACCAAGAAAATCCAACAAATGCTACGTTCAGCAAAGGACAAGAGGAGACTTCTGCAGGAGTCTACCGTGTACCATGCAGCTGTGGACAAGTCTACATAGGGACCACCAAACGCAGCAGCGCCCAAACAAGAATCAAGGAACATGAAAGGCACTGCAGACTCCTTCAGCTAGAGAAGTCAGACATAGCACATCATGAACCAACCTGGACACAGCATTTTATTTGAGAACACAGAAATGCTGGACCACTCTCACAACCACCATGTCAGACTACACAGAGAAGCCATTGAAATCCACAAGCAATTTCAACAACAATTTCAACAGAAAAGAGGAAACCATGAAAATGAACAATTAAAAACCTCTAAAATTACAACAGGAAAACAACAGAGAGGAAACAATCAAGGACATCTAATCACCTCTCAACAAAAGATTGCCCCAGGCACTGCCAGGCCATCAAATGCTAATCAAGGTGGTCAGTTGAAACATTCACACCTAGCTCCAACAGACAAGAGTTCTTTGTCCCACCCTGGTCATTCCACAGATATATAAACCAATTTTCCTAGTTGCAACAGACCTCACTACCTCTGAGGATGCTTGCCATAGATGCAGGCGAAACGTCAGGAGAGAATGCCTCTAGACCATGGCCATATAGCCCGAAAAAACCTACAACAACCCAGTAAATAACAATTTAATAACAAGGAGACAAAATAACGTAAAGCAAAATGTGTATGTATATACCAAGTGTGAAATTACAGATATATCACAAATACGTTTTGATTTATCTCTTTTGAAAATTAATTGATTTGTGTATGCAGCTTGGGCAGCGTGAATGTATTTTTCAAATGCTTTTGAACTCAATTATCTTAAGAAAGGCCATTAGCCATTTTTTTGTTTTTGTGGTTGTTGGTGCGTCTGACATTATTGTGGCAGAGACTGGGGAATCTAGAAGGTTGTGGTTTTCCCGCCACAGTATTGTGACATTATGCCATGTGGTGGTGTTTTTGAATACCAAGTCAGTATGACATCAATTGTTTTGGATATAATTTCGGAGAGTTTGATGGCATGGCATGTGTGTTGTGTGGAATTGCTAAGAGGACTAAATAAATGCAATTTTAAAAGAACTCTCAAAGAAGTAGTTTGAAATTATCAACTGTAATTGATGGAATATAGGAATATAGAATTTTTTTCTGCTCTTTCTTTTGCTGGAGTTCAGTTTGATTAGCCAGACAAGCAGTTGCATAGTAGATACTGAGTTTAGTATAGCCCAATTCTATTCCCAAAACAAAGGGACGTGAGAGTTCTTAATTCATTGCTGAACTTTTGTTCTTGCTAGAGTAAGAGTTTGAGTGCCTATCCACTCTTTGTGGAGAAACAGGATTTTGGAGAAACAGGTGAATGTTGGACAGAATTATCTGCTGGTCACCATTTGTATTAATCATAATCTCTTTGGGTGATCTTTGGAAGACCCACAGCAAGTAGTACAGATTGCCTGTGTTGCTGTTATTCTCTTTTGAAAGAACGCAAAAACAGTTATATAGTAGAAACACAAGAATTATACCTTGACCTGATTCTACATTTTCTCCTAGACAACGGCTGTTCCAGGTGGTCCTAGATTCGGCATCAGTTCCTCCTCCATCGCTGTTTACTAAGAAAGCTTCCATCCAAAGCTGTATTATGAATTCCCTTGTTGGTTTTGGTCCGAAGCATGAGAAGCCTTTTACAGATACTGTTTTGGGCAAAGGAAACATTTGCACATCTAAAAGCCTTTTAAAACCATCTGAAATTGAGAGTAAAAATATCAAAATTAATCAGGAAGAGAGTCCATATTGTTCTGAAGGTGGTCATGGGACATTTGGCCAAGTGGCGGAAAGTACAAGTCCTGTAGAAGGCACCATGAATCCTGAAACACCTTCCACATCGGCAACAAAAGTTGTATCAAAGGGTAAGTCTTTGGACCTGTAATTCTATAATACATTTTTGTGTACACATCAGCATTGTACGTTAATTTTTCCAAGTTAAATTTGGCTCAATTATTTTTCGATTCAGTCACCTCTCAATTTTTGCTGATTCCATGAATTTCATAGAATTTCTTAGGCAAGGAATATCCAAAGATGGAGTTACCACTTCCTTTATCTGAAGTTTACCCTACAGCACATGCTATGCATTGATGGTCTTCCACTGAGGTACTTCTCCGAGCTGACCCGGTTTAACTTCCAAGATCAAAAAGGATCTGGTGCCTTTAGGGTGTTAGCATGCCACATGCACAATGGAGAACCTTCTCACAGCGACACCAAAGGCGTTCCAAGTGGCCAGTTTCTGGTCAAAGGAAATCTAGTATAACACCAAGTTTTAAACTTTGTATAATTGTACTCCCAATTCGCTTCTGACACGATATATAAATAATAAGGGTGTTAGCAGTCATAGGTGCATGACATCAGTTGTTCTGAGTATAGGTTTTGTTGTTATTTATCTGACTTTATTTAGTACTATCCACGTTCAAATCCTCCAGCAAAGGATCACCGCCTTGTCGGGGCGCTGGAGCTTGAGCACCTCAATGATGTCATGAGCG